CAAGGCCAGGTGGCAGGGTGAAGCAGTTCAAGATGGCAAAAGACAGCAAAGGCTACAAGAGAAAAAAGGCCTCTTTTCCGCCTTTGTACTGTGAGCAGGCTGCTCGCCCTCGGGCGGGTGGAGCACGGCAGCATCTCCCTGCCCTCTTCTCACACAGGCTCAGGAAGTTTACAAAGGGAGGACCTTGGACCTTGTAAGTTACTTAGTAGCTTTAGGGTTAGCATAACCCCAGGGCTAATGAATATAATATCTGAATGTGTACATGGTGATGTGATCTGTTTGATGGCTTGTGTAAAGTTAGCAAATACTTTTATTGAACAGTCAAGACATTTAACTCCAGTGACAGCTAAGGTCAGTTCCCTGTAGAAGGTGGACACTTACGCTTAAGTTACATTACTTTAAAAAAGCCAGAAAGAGTCACTACCCCAACCGCCCTACAGGAAAAGCCCCTGTTGTGTATTCATGTCTGCTTGCCATGTGACTTGCAGTATATGTATTCTGCTCTTAACCTCCACTGTTCCTAAAATTCATTCTTGGGGTTTAGAGAACACGCCCAGGCATCTTCCAGGTTGGGCGTTCCCCTATCAAAATAGTAATGTTTTTCTCTTACCAAGGAAATCACAAACACTAGTGATTAATGCTTTTAAGATATTTCTGCTACTCAGATTATTAAACTCCTTTTCCCTGCCAGATTACCACTAGCAGAGTCATACTTTTAACAAATTTCCAATTATAGTTTAATTGGGCAGTGAGTGACATATGTAACAACCTTCAAACCTACTGAAAGTATGTAGGTTAAACCTCCTGAAGAATCTTGCTGAATGCTGTTCAAATTACCAACTGATTAAAAAAAAAAAAACTATGTAAACATTTTCATTTTAAGAATACAAATCAAAATTCTCTAGGTTGACATTCAACATGGTGCTTCCATTAAAATGGTGTGCAAAAAGGTAAATTGTTAAAATCTGCTTTTAACTCAGGTAATCCCTCTAAAGAAACTATACTCAGCTAATATTGGAAGGATTAAAGTTACTCTAAAACTTTCTTTTCCTTTTTTTCAATAAATTTTGAGAAACAAATAGCAATGAGACAGTTTCAGAACAGGTTAGGACAGTTATAATTAATACATTGCATATTGTTGTCTTCGTAGTGGTTATTCATAGTACAAGATGCAGACATGATATCTTGTCCAAACACTATTAGTACAAATCTTTCTTCTCATTGAATTAAGAGAAAGTAGCTTTATATATCTATCCTATTTTGTACATACAGATACAAAATGGTCCTTCATTTATTTATTTATTTGCAGAACAGGGGATTGAACTCAGGCCCTTGAGCTTGCCAGGCAAGCGCTTATTCTACTGAGCCATCTCCCCGGCCCCATGGTCCTTCATTTATATCCCCTTTTTTGTTTAGTTTTGTCAGAGATGGGTATTCCACTGTCATTTAAATATTGTAGGTGTGTGAATTCAGCAAAATAACCCAATATAATCCAGTAGCCCACAATAGTAGTGGGTTATCTGCAGAACTGGCCATGTCAGAAGTTGATGAGCTCTTTACAGCTCAGCATATTAATATGGCTTTACTTTTTATGCCTCTGAAACTTTCAAACCAAACCTTCCTCATTAAACCAGCACACAGTATTGAGCTGTACACCTTGCACTTGGCAGCTCAACTCTGGAGCAAGAGTGCACAGGACGGTTAGGTGGGAGCCCCGGTGGGCAGCTTCTCCAGTGGCCATGACAGCTCGCAGGGGGCCAGGGACTGTGCTCTTGTCTTACCCCTCAACTGCAATGCTGCCAATACTGCCTAAGGCTGATTTTTTTCTCCTTACTTCAAAACTGAATTTTAAAAGCTCCCTTAGGGTAGATTCCCCCCCACGCCCCCCCACCCCGAAACTGGGGATTAGAACTCAGGCTGTTGAGCTTGCCAGGGAAGCGCTTATTCCACTGAGCCATCTCCCCGAGTGCTTATTACCCTGAGCCCTTAGGGTAACCCTGATTTCTTATAACACTTAAGGGCACAATGCAGACAATTCTGTATCGTGAGATAAACAACATTACCTAAAAAAGAAAGGCAAAAATTTTAGATGCTTTACTGCACTATTTTAAGCCAAAATACACTGAATGTCTTGAGGGTTGACATGCACACCCAATCAACATGCTTGGTTTTCTGCTTTTCAGAATCTGTCTAAAACTAAGTTATTAAACACTCAATCTTTCTAAAAAGGTGGTAACTTGGAAGACCTACTTATAAAAGAACAAAAGAGGTATTAATTACATCAAATTGGTGGTAATAAATTTAAAAACCATACCTTACAATTTTAAGGGTCTTAATACAAAGACTAAAAACTCAACATCTGAAATTTGCATGCCTTGTTTAGCCCTATAAAAAGGGTATCTATTCAAACTAGGTCATTAATATAAATTAATGAAAACAATTTTTGCAATGATGAACTTCTTATAGCTGAATCGATATATTTTATGTTTAAAAACTACTGAAGTTGTCAAAAAAAAAAGACTTCCTTTGCACTCCCTTCTCCTTTCCCTCCCCTCCTCTCGCATTCCAGACTCACTCACTTGGTCCCGCCACACAGGGAAAGCAGCATTAGCACAGAAAGACAGCACCAGCTGCCTTCAGCACGGTGCACAGCCCCACCAAGCCAGTGGTGATGGACCTATGGCCCCAGGGCTACAGCGGGCGCAGAGAGCCCTCCCTACTTGCACACCAGCCGAGTGTATGAGTTGTTTGTTCCTTAAACTAAAACCTCACTATCCAGGTTTAACTGCAGTGCTGGCAGTCTGTGACGAGTACGTGGGTTCTGAGGGGCAGCCTGGGTGCCCGGTCCCTAAAAGGTTATCACTGTGTAGACTTTATTCTTCGTTTTCCATCTGTTCTTATTATTCCTTGCCAAGTTTTAAAAATCGCCTATAGTTCTAAAACATTTGTTTGCTTTATATGCCCTTATGTTCCTTTTCAAATATAAAAGTAAAAATTATACACAATGCAATGTACAGATTTTAAGTACCCAATTTGGTGAGATTTGGTAAATGCCAATCCTCCAATTAAAATTAAATACTGAGTTCTATCAATATTTAAATCTTTTCGTAGTATTGCTTGCCTTTTCATTTTCTTAATATTTTTAATGAGTGTAAGTTTTTAATTTTCAAGTCTAACTTCATAGTTCTTCTCACAGATAGTGTTTTCTTTTTTTTTT